TCCCAGAGACTCACTCACTCAGAGACTCACTCACTCAGAGACTCACAGAGAGGCTCACTCACTCAGAGACTCACTCACTCAGAGACTCACTCACTCAGAGACTCACTCACTCAGAGACTCACTCACTCAGAGACTCACAGAGAGACTCACTCACTCAGAGACTCACTCAGAGACTCACTCACTCAGAGACTCACAGAGAGGCTCACTCACTCAGAGACTCACTCACTCAGAGACTCACAGAGAGACTCACTCACTCAGAGACTCACTCAGAGACTCACTCAGAGACTCACTCAGAGACTCACTCACTCAGAGACTCACTCACTCAGAGACTCACTCACTCAGAGACTCACTCACTCAGAGACTCACTCACTCAGAGACTCACTCACTCAGAGACTCACAAGAGACTCACTCAGAGACTCACTCAGAGACTCACTCACTCAGAGACTCACTCACTCAGAGACTCACTCACTCAGAGACTCACAGAGAGGCTCACTCACTCAGAGACTCACTCACTCAGAGACTCACAGAGAGACTCACTCACTCAGAGACTCACTCAGAGACTCACTCAGAGACTCACTCACTCAGAGACTCACTCACTCAGAGACTCACTCACTCAGAGACTCACTCACTCAGAGACTCACTCACTCAGACTCACTCACTCAGACTCACTCACGCAGAGACTCACTCAGAGACTCACTCAGAGACTCACTCAGACACTCACTCAGGGACTCACTCAGAGACTCACTCAGAGACTCACTCAGAGACTCACTCAGAGACTCACGCAGAGACTCACGCAGAGACTCGCTCAGACTCACTCAGAGACTCACTCACTCAGAGACTCGCTCACTCAGAGACTCGCTCACTCAGAGACTCACGCAGAGACTCACTCAGACTCACTCACTCAGAGACTCACTCACTCAGAGACTCACTCACTCAGACTCACTCAGAGACTCACTCACTCAGAGACTCACGCAGAGACTCACTCAGAGACTCACTCAGAGACTCACTCAGAGACTCACTCAGACACTCACTCGGACTCACTCGGACTCACTCAGAGACTCACTCAGAGACTCACTCAGAGACTCACGCAGAGACTCACGCAGAGACTCGCTCAGACTCACTCAGAGACTCACTCACTCAGAGACTCACTCACTCAGAGACTCACTCACTCAGAGACTCACTCACTCAGAGACTCACTCACTCAGAGACTCACGCAGAGACTCACTCAGACTCACTCACTCAGAGACTCACTCACTCAGAGACTCACTCACTCAGAGACTCACTCACTCAGAGACTCACTCACTCAGAGACTCACTCACTCAGAGACTCACTCACTCAGAGACTCACTCACTCAGAGACTCACGCAGAGACTCGCTCAGACTCACTCAGACACGGACTCACTCACTCAGAGACTCACTCACTCAGAGACTCACTCAGACTCACTCAGATTCACGGACTCACTCACTCAGAG